CTTCTACTTTACAACTCTCAATATATGTTTCATTTGGTTATATCTCCTGAAACCAGTTCTGACATTAATTGACTAACGCTCATTATTCTTCTATGTGTCGTGTCACTTCAGGACTTTGTCTATCAAGGCTCTCCACTTTTCTTCTACTTTACAGCTCTCAATATATGTTTTTCATTTGGTTATATCTCCTGAACCCTGTTCTGACATTAATTGACTAACTCATTATTCTTCTATGTTCGTTCACTTCAGGACTTTGTCTATCAATCTCCACTATTTCTTCTATTTACAGCTCTCAATATATGTTTTTCATTTGGTTTATATCTCCTGAACCTGTTCTGACATTAATTGACTAACGCTCATTATTCTTCTATGTGTCGTGTCACTTCAGGACTTTGTCTATCATGGCTCTCCACTATTTCTTCTATTTCTCTTATGTTTTCATTTGGTTATATCTCCTGAACCCTGTTCTGACATTAATTGACTAACACTTTATTCTTCTATGTGTCGTCAAGGACTTTGTCTATCATGTCTTTTTCTTCTATTTACAGCTCTCAATATATGGTTATATCTCCTGAAACCTAACACTTTATTCTTCTATGTGTCGTGTCAATTTGTCTATCAACTCTCCACTATTTCTTCTACTTTACAGCTCTCAATATATGTTTTCATTTGGTTATATCTCCTGAACCCTGTTCTGACATTAATTGTAACACTCATTATTCTTCTATGTCGTGTCACTTCAGGACTTTGTCTATCATGGCTCTCCACTATTTCTTCTACTTTGGTTAGCTCTCAATATATGTTTTCATTTGGTTATATCTCCTGAAACCAGTTCTGACATTAATTGACTAACGCTCATTATTCTTCTATGTGTCGTGTCACTTCAGGACTTTGTCTATCAAAGGCTCTCCACTATTTCTTCTATATTCTTCTTAATTAACACTCATTATTCTTCTATGTGTCATCTCAATGTTTCTTCTATTTTACAACTTCAATATCTTTTCATTTGGTTATGTTCCTGAAATCATTAATTGACTAACGCTCATTAGTCTTCTATGTGTCGTGTCACTTCAGGACTTTGTCTATCAAGGCTCTCCACTATTTCTTCTACTTTACAACTCTCAATATATGTTTTCATTTGGTTATATCTCCTGAACCCTGTTCTGACATTAATTGACTAACACTCATTATTCTTCTATGTGTCGTGTCACTTCAGGACTTTGTTGATCATGGCTCTCCACTATTTCTTCTACTTTACAGCTCTCAATATATGTTTCATTTGGTTTATCTGAACCCTGTTCTGACATTAATTGACTAACTCATTTTCTTCTATGTGTCGTGTCACTTCAGGACTTTGTCTATCAAGGCTCTCCACTATTTCTTCTACTTTACAGCTCTCAATATATGTTTTCATTTGGTTATATCTCCTGAACCCTGTTCTGACATTAATTGACTAACGCTCATTATTCTTCTATGTGTCGTGTCACTTCAGGACTTTGTCTATCAAGGCTCTCCACTATTTCTTCTACTTTACAGCTCTCAATATATGTTTTCATTTGGTTATATCTCCTGAACCCTGTTCTGACATTAATTGACTAACGCTCATTATTCTTCTATGTGTCGTGTCACTTCAGGACTTTGTCGATCATGGCTCTCCACTATTTCTTCTACTTTACAGCTCTCAATATATGTTTCATTTGGTTATATCTCCTGAACCCTGTTCTGACATTAATTGACTAACGCTCATTATTCTTCTATGTGTCGTGTCACTTCAGGACTTTGTCTATCAAGGCTCTCCACTATTTCTTCTACTTTACAGCTCTCAATATATGTTTTCATTTGGTTATATCTCCTGAACCCTGTTCTGACATTAATTGACTAACACTCATTATTCTTCTATGTGTCGTGTCACTTCAGGACTTTGTCTATCATGGCTTTCCACTATTTCTTCTACTTTACAACTCTCAATATATGTTTCATTTGGTTATATCTCCTGAAACCTGTTCTGACATTAATTGACTAACGCTCATTATTCTTCTATGTGTCGTGTCACTTCAGGACTTTGTCGATCATGGCTCTCCACTATTTCTTCTACTTTACAGCTCTCAATATATGTTTTCATTTGGTTATATCTCCTGAACCCTGTTCTGACATTAATTGACTAACGCTCATTATTCTTCTATGTGTCGTGTCACTTCAGGACTTTGTCTATCATGGCTCTCCACTATTTCTTCTACTTTACAGCACTCAATATATGTTTTCATTTGGTTATATCTCCTGAACCCTGTTCTGACATTAATTGACTAACGCTCATTATTCTTCTATGTGTCGTGTCACTTCAGGACTTTGTCTATCATGGCTCTCCACTATTTCTTTACAGCTCTATATATGTTTCATTTGGTTATATCTCCTGTTTCTTCTGTTTGACTTTTATATCTCCTGAACTCTGTTCTGACATTAATTCTTCACTATTATTCAACTCTCAATATATGTTTTCATTTGGTTATATCTCCTGAACCCTGTTCTGACATTAATTGACTAACGCTCATTATTCTTCTCTGTGTCGTGTCACTTCAGGACTTTGTTGATCATGGCTCTCCACTATTTCTTCTACTTTACAGCTCTCAATATATGTTTTCATTTGGTTATATCTCCTGAACCCTGTTCTGACATTAATTGACTAACGCTCATTATTCTTCTATGTGTCGTGTCACTTCAGGACTTTGTCGATCATGGCTCTCCACTATTTCTTCTACTTTACTGTTCTCAATATATGTTTTCATTTGGTTATATCTCCTGAACCCTGTTCTGACATTAATTGACTAACGCTCATTATTCTTCTATGTGTCGTGTCACTTCAGGACTTTGTTGATCATGGCTCTCCACTATTTCTTCTACTTTACAGCTCTCAATATATGTTTTCATTTGGTTATATCTCCTGAACCCTGTTCTGACATTAATTGACTAACGCTCATTATTCTTCTATGTGTCGTGTCACTTCAGGTCTTTGTTGATCATGGCTCTCCACTATTTCTTCTACTTTACAACTCTCAATATATGTTTTCATTTGGTTATATCTCCTGAACCCTGTTCTGACATTAATTGACTAACGCTCATTATTCTTCTATGTGTCGTGTCACTTCAGGACTTTGTTGATCATGGCTCTCCACTATTTCTTCTACTTTACAGTTCTCAATATATGTTTCATTTGGTTATATCTCCTGAAACCAGTTCTGACATTAATTGACTAACGCTCATTATTCTTCTATATGTCGTGTCACTTCAGGACTTTGTCGATCTCCTGAATCTCCACTATTTCTCTACTTTACAGCTCTCAATTTATTGTTTTCATTTGGTTATATTTCTTCTACTTTAACCTCAATATATGTTTTTTGTTTGACATTAATTTCTGACTAACGCTCATTATTCTTCTATGTGTCGTGTCACTTCAGGACTTTGTCGATCATGGCTCTTCACCATTTCTTCTACTTTACAACTCTCAATATATGTTTTCATTTGGTTATATCTCCTGAACCCTGTTCTGACATTAATTGACTAACACTCATTATTCTTCTATGTGTCGTGTCACTTCAGGACTTTGTCGATCATGGCTCTCCACTATTTCTTCTACTTTACAGCTTTCAATTATTTGTTTTATCTCTGTTCTGATATCAATTGACTAACGCTCATTATTCTTCTATGTGTTACATTAACAGCTAACCGTAAAGTTAATCTTTAAGTTTAGGGTTGGGATTTTCTTTCTGTGTAGAAAACGGGACAAATTAAAAAATAAAAAAAAACATTAAAGAATTTACTATGTTTGTGCATTATTTTCAATTTTAAAATATAAAAAATGCTTTATATTTTTATTATTTAATTTGTTCTTTTAATTTGTCATTGCTATTCGAAACGGGAAAAACGTTCTATTGTATTATTTCATTTGTTTTGTTATAAATAAAACTACACTTACCAAAAAAAAAAAAAAAAAAAAAATATATATATATATATATATATATATTTCTTTACGGTAGTGCGTAGTGATTTTCTGTAAGGAAAGTCTGTAAAAGAAGTAAATAGGCCAGAAGTACCCCGCACCGAATGAGTATTCATGATGGCAGTAATGGGGGACAAATGACCAGCAAGAAGTCCAATTTTTAATTGTCCATAACTTCAAAACGGTAGGGTTTCTTCATAATTTAATTGTTAATTCGAGTTCAGCAGGTACATTTGCACGGAATTATGACGATTTTGGAAAATTTTAAGGGATATTAGCGCACGGGTGTTAAAACCAAAATTTACCAAATAATTATTTACTATTTATTTTGAAGTGGAATTTATTTTTTTTTTAAGTAAAAAAGTTTTACTTTTAAAAATTATTACATTAAAGAAGCAAATATTTCTTTATAAATGAATTTATTTACTATTTTGAAAAAGTGTAGAAGCAAGCTACATTGAGAATTTTAGTTTTGGAAAGTGATTAGGTTTAAAGAGTTATATTTATATTTGAAAAGAGAAACCATATTTTAGTTAAATAAAAATTAACAGAGACATGACTTACAGTCAACATTAGTCGTGTTGAATAAATTGTTTTACAAACTTAACTTAAAATTTTTCGAAAAATTAAGGCTTGCTATATTTTTTTGCTTTAATAAAACTTAACTGAAAATTATTTACTTTTAGTTTTTTATGTAAATTACAAAGAAAAAAACAATGAAGTTTATTTTTTAAAGATTGAATAAAAATCATTTTCCATAAAATGGCAGAAAACTAAGTCAATAATACACACACACGTTAATTATTGTAGTTTTTATATTTTAGCCAGACACACTCGAATATTTGAAAAATAAATATTAAACATTTTTGATTTTTGTCAAGTAATTGGATTTAATATTCTACTTCTTTTAAATTTACTTTGTTGTTTTAATATTAGTTTTTATTTTAAGTTACGCTTTTATTTACTATAGATGCGAAAATAAATTCAAGTGAATAGAAATTTTAAAATGTTCATATCTATCTATCTATCTATCTATCTATCTATCTGTTAACCTTTGTTCAAGGTGTGAGGTCGTCAGTAATGCCTGATGAATCATAATTTGTTTATTCCTTCTTGTTGGTGACATTCATATTTCTCGGAATTTCGCAAATAAAATTAGTTTCATTTTTTCTTTCTTTCAAATAATGAAATTTAAAAGACTTTTTAGATTTTTGACAATTCAATCAATTTTGACCTTTTTTGTTATTAAAAACCAGAATTCAAAAGTTTTTTCATTAATAGAAATATTTTGGGTTTTCCTTTTAATTCCATAAGTCAAAAAAGAAGAGTTTATTTTTCGTTTTTATTACCAAATCTTAAAGTCATCTTGTATTAAACCCGAGAAGAATTTCAATTTTAGCATTTTTAACATTAATTACTTGATAATTTTTATAAACATTTATTCGGAAATAGACGTGTGAATTGCATTTGTATCCGTTTATAAAAAAATTATTAGCGTTAAAAATAAAATAATTAAAAATAATAAATAATTAAAAAGTGTCTAAAAATAAATGATTTTTACATTTTGCAATAACCATTATTCGTGCAAATAAAAATCTTTTTTATATTTTGCATAAAAAATTAGTTTCAATTATTAGTTTGAATTTTATTGGTTTTAATTTTATACTAACTAATAAAAATAGTGTTTTTAGTTATTTTTTTATACTACTATTTTTTTCATTTTATACTACTGACTAATAAGTTTTTATTTTAGTTTATTAACTATTTTTTAAAATTTACTGACAAGGAATAAAATAAAAATATAAATTTGTTTTCAAAAATAAAACTGCCATTGAAATAATTCCGGATCTTTATGAAACTTTTTATTATTCGACATTTTCTTTTTATTTCCATAAAAATGATTCTTGATGGAATGAAATTCCATTTTATTCAGATTTATCACAAATTTCATGTTTTTTGTTTGAGTTGAAATATTTTTTCAAATGATTAAATGTCGTGAGTTATTTGAAAGAAAAAGAAAGAATTCGCCCCTCTCTCATCGTTCCATGTTTTCTCTCTTGCTTCTCTCATTCCCCCCTCTTTCTCTCATCTATAAACACGTAAAGAAAGTCACGTGTCCAGATGGCGTGATTATTCTCGTCCAATGAAATGCCTTGTATTCCGATGACGTCATCCGTACGGCCGACGCCCTTTGCAGTTTGCTTTCAGAAAATTCAACAGACAAGACGTGTTTTATTTTCGTCTCGCTTCTTTTCATCCCAAAAGTGAAAATCAAAATCAAATGTAAGTAAGAATTTTCTTATCGTTTCTCCAAATCATTCAACCTTCTTCTTAAATGTTTCCATCAACACAACGAGACTTTTTCTTTCTTTTCTTTTTTTAATCATTTCAACCCAATGAAGGCAAGAAAGCCACTACGACGCAAGGAGGGGTTAGACACCCCTCCTTGCGTCGTAGTGGCTTTCTTGCCTGAAAAAAGAAAAACATATTTGGTTCTCTTCATTTCTATTTACTGGTCTCGCTGCAAAGTGAGGACAGAAGGATTCAAAATCACAATTAGGTGTCATCTTTTTCTTTTCTCTCTCTTTCTCTTCCGCTCTCTCTCCTTCTCTCTCTCTCTCTCGCTCTCCCGAAACAATTTAATTTCGAAAACTTTTTCTTTTTTAATAGAAAAAAGTTCGTCTGACTCTTTCTCTTTGTTTTCTTCAAAGCAAACGATGAGCTGTTTTGCACCCCCCCGATTTCCTATCTGCTTCTTTAATGTTTGTCGTAGGATTAAAAAGGAAGACGGGGCACTACTTAAGTTAAGTGGTCCGCTTGTTAAAGCGAAACAAAAAGAAAGAAAAACTGGTAAAATACGTGTAAATACTTCCAAAAACTCTCTCTAGTTATTAGGTTGGTGCAAAAATAATGACGTAATAATGTCGTTTTTGACGTTAAAAATACGTCAAAAAACGACATTATTACGTCATTATTTTTGCACCAACCTAATATCTATCTATCATCTATGTCTATTGGTCGGAAATCTTTTTTGTTAAAAGGAAGCAATTTATATCGGTCTATCTATCTATATATCTATCTGTTGGTTTAAATGATAAGGAAAACAAATCTTTCTCTTTCATACAATCAATTTATATTGGTTTGTTTTTGCCTATTCGATCTCTGTCCTTATTGTTACAGGTTAACTCTGAGAAATATATATATATATATATATATATATATAACTGGTTGGTTGGCTGGTTATCTGTCTATATGTCGGTGTTTATTTAATAGAAAAGAAAAAAATACCCCTCTCTCTCTCTCTCTCTCTCAGCCCTTTCTTCTCACTCTTACTGCACATTCTTCCCTTTCCCTACTTTCCCTCCCTTTTTATCTCATGAAATCAAAGGAAAAATTTCCCCCCTCTCTCTTTTTCATACAACTCTTTCTTTTCTCCCTTCTCTACTTCCCCTCTCTTGTTATCTCATGTAACGTCTTTCAGCTAGGATAGGTTGGGTGTGGTTATTCTCGTCCAATGAAATGCCTTCCCTTCCTATGACGTCACAGACCCTCAACTCAAGTCAGAATTTTCTCATCGATTTCCAAATAATCGAACTTTCCGAAATGGTTTCATGAAAACAACAGGAAATTCTTTTTTTTTATTGGATTTTCTCTTCTTTGTTTTTTTTTTAACCGAATTCATATTGCGAAAAAAAAGCCAAACTTTTTTTTTCTCTATTCATAGAATAAGTTTATTATTTTTATTTATGAAATTGTTTTTTTAGCTTTCTTCTTCTTTCTTTATTTCACTTGGACACAGTTTGGAATAAATCCGAAAACTGAATTTAATTCCTGGCAATATTTAAACAGACGGTTCATTCGTTATAAAATGGTGAACTTTTTTTTTTTTTTTCGTGTGAATAATTTTTGTAGGTTTTTTTTAAAAAAAGGGTAATAAAAAATGTCTTCATCTTGTACGGGACTTCTTCAAAGAAAGTTAAAAAATAATCGGAAGAAATATTAATATTTTAAAATATTAGAATTGATGAAAAGAGAATGTTAAATGTGACTGTGAAGGCGGGATATTGGAATCCCCCTCTCTCTCTGTTTCTTTTACCCTTTCTTTTCTTCCCATTCTTACATTTCTCTTCTCTCCCTCTTTTTCTTTATTGATAAACGCTCTCACAAGTTCCCCACTCTCTCACTATTTCATTCACCCCCCTCACCTCGTCTCCTTCCTTTCATTTATTTCTGGTTTTAGAAGAAAACAATTTTTTTTCTGGAAATCGTTTTTTTTTCTTGTAAAATCTCGAAATTTCGGATCATTTTGCTTCCGGTTTTATAAATGGACTTTTTTCGTTTTTTTCTGATTTTCAATTTTTTTTTTACCTCATTTTTTTTCTTTTCTTTCTTTTCAGATTGTTTTTATCTTCGGAAATCTCCAGATGGCGTCCAATGAGAGTGAAGAAGAGATATTCCAATGCTCGAAATGCGACCATTTCCTGGACTTGGCATCGAAGACATTGCCATGTCTTCATTCTTTCTGCGGGCCGTGTGTAAATATGATTCTTGGGGAGAATGGCCTGTGTCCCCACTGCCAAAGGCCTGTGACTGATGACGAGTTGAGACTGGCACCATTTTTGGTGAAGTCTTTGAGGCGCCATCACCTGGAATCAAGCGAATGGAAGTGCGACTTTTGTTCTGAAGACGGCGTACAATCGGCGGGCCAGATTTGGTGTAAGGATTGCGAGAAATTCTTGTGTCAGAACTGTAACAGGATCCACAAGAGATTAGAATTGACACATAACTGGGAAGACTTGTCGGGCGTGTCGAGAGGGGAGGCCATCCGGGTCATCACGACAGACGACTGCCGCCAGCACCACAAGTGCAAGGACGCCTTCTGCGATCGGTGCAACGTGTGCCTGTGTGACGCATGTTACGAGAATCACGTGACCGCTTCCCCACAGTGTCCGCCTCGTCCGCTGTCGGTGAGGGAGAAGGCGTCGAAGGAGAAGGAAAGCGGCCCCACCCTGGAGCAGCAACTCCGCCAGTTCGAAATCCACATCCGGGCGACAAACGAGCAAACTAGGCGATCCATTGACCAACTGTCAACGGATTGCGATTCCGAATGCTCAAAACTCTGGCAGGATTTCGAGACATTCGTGGAAAAGGCACGGATCAAGTTGGGAGAGCTGTGCGACAATATGAGAGAAGCAGCGTCCGAACAGAAGAGACAATGGCGCCTCTTCCTCAAGGAGAGAGAAGACCTTTTGGGGAAGGTGAAGATCTGGAGCGACACCTTACGACATTTATTGACTGACGACGCCGACGATGAGGACGTCGTTAGTGGATTGAGGTTGTACAGAGCGGAGCTTTCTGCGTGGCTCCGACAATCGTTTGCTCCACTCGAGAAAATTCGGTGGGTGGTGACCTTTCCCAAATGGTGTCACGATTCCCTAGAGTTACTGAAGAAAGAAATGATCGATTTCACGCTAGAGACATCCGGGCATTTGCAGCTGAAAAGACAATGCTGCCTGCAAGATTCGAAACCGTTGTGGATTTCATCGATTATCACCGACGACAAAGACAATCACGTCTTTGTTTGCCATTGGAACGGCGAATCGATTCAAGAATTCACAGAGACTGGGGTTTTGGTCGGCCAATTTCGCTTAACAGACGGAGGAGAGGGATTCTGCCCCTGGGACATGTGTCGCCTCTCCGATGACATTTTGGTTGTTTCTTGTCCTCGAGGGTGGGGGTCGAGGGGGGGAAGACTTTTCTTTTTGGCGCGACAAAAATCTCCGCCATTTTTAAAAATCGAAAAAATAATTGATACAAAAGAAAAAAGATTTTATTCTTTGTGTCAAATTGACAAAGAAATTTTTGCTTGTGAATTTGATTTGAAGGAAATTGTTTGTTTTAATGAAAGTGGAGAAAAAATAAAAACAATCTACCCTGGGGGGTCGCCGGAAGCGGGTGATTATGCCCCCCGCCTTCGTGCCGATCCGACGACAGGGAATTTGTTGGGGGCAAGAGAAGGAAAATCGATAATTTTTGTGTGGAATCAAAATGGAGAAATTCTTCTAAAATTGGAAATAAAAGAAAGAATTTCCGATTTTTGTGCAAATAAATTTGGAAATTTTTATTTTTCGACCCTAGAAGGAATTTTTTCTGTTTTGCCAGAAAAGGTTTTGTATAAATTTCCGAAAATATCTGAAAATGTTACGAGGATTTTTGTTTGCCGCCAAAAATTGTTTGTTTTTTTAAAAAACGATGGAAAATATTTATTAAAAATTTTGAAAATTAATTAAAAGAAAATTTTGAAAAAAATGTTATGTTTATTTTTTTTTTTGTTTGCAAATAAAATTTATTTTATTTCAAATTATTTTTGTCTTCGATGATTTAACAATATGAGTCGAGGTAAATATATCTAGAAAAATGTTCACTTTCGTAATATGAGTCGAAGTAAATAATGAGTGACATTTTCATAATTTTTTCATGGATTCAATCCAATTTCAATGGATCGACTTTTTTTGAATTAATGCAAATTTAGGAAAATAAATAAAATTAATTTGTACTGATTTTTTCCATAAAAAATTTCGAAAGATAACAATATGAGATCAGTCAAAAAAAAAAAGTAGTTTTTTTTTTTCTTTTTCTCTTTCCGTATTTTTTCTTCTTTTTCTTTTTTTTTCATTTTTTTCCTTTTCCCTGATTTTCTTTCTTTTTTCTTTTCTTTGTTTCTCTTTTTTTTTTTTTAATATTTTCTTTGTTTCTCTTCTTTTTCTTCATTTTAAAATTTTTTTCTTACTCTTTTTTTCTTTTTCTTTCTCTATTTTTACTTCGTTTTTTTTTTTCTGTCGCTTTTTATATTTGGTAAATTTACTTTTTAAGGCCCGCGCTAAATATCTCTTCAAATTTTTAACAATTAAATTTAGATAAAAAAAAAAAAACTACCATTTTGGAATTATCAACAAGAAAACATCGGACTTAGTGTCGGTCATTCGTCCGCCATTACGGCCATTGTTTTTAATAATTCAGTCCGGGGCATTATTGGGTATTTCCGGTAGCGTGAGCATAACTTTTTTGTTCACACGAACTTTGCAAAGAGCATAGTTATCTACAAAATCAAAAATTGAAGGAAGGAGGATTTTGATTTATTTTGTAAAAAATCAGGCTAACGTTTGCGCATTAATTATTATTAGTTTTATTTTTAATTTAAAAGAATAGCTTTATTTTTTTAATTTGTTTTTTTTTTTAATTTAAAAAAAAAGCTTTACTATAAAAAGAAAAAGACAGTTGAAAAAAAACCCCCCAAAACTTGTCATTGCTTTTCGACACAACTTAAGTGCGTAGTAATTTACAGCAGTAAAAGCAGTAAATAGAGCAAAAATTTATCATTGTTTCGTGTCTTCATTTGCCTGTGTTTTGAAATCATCCTGTCGGCCTTGAAAAGTCGCCCGAAATTGTCTGCCTTTTACCTGCCATGAGTTAATTCAAAATCAATCAAGCACGAGGATCTGGTTAAAGAAAAGCCGAATGAAAGGATCGAAACTGGGAAGATTTATTTATCTACGTTCACTGTATTAATGCCCTTGGGACAAAAGGCATGAAACCATCACAACCCCGCCCTCCCAGCTGGGGTAGTTTCAATATAATATTAATTTCAAATAGCATTCAAGGAAGCTAAGCTGAGAATGAAGAAAAAAGAAATATTCGTTACAAACAATGAAACGACTGCCGAACTGCGACGTGATTATCTGTTGCCCTCAATGTTAGTGGATGCTGGATGATCTTCTCAAAGATGAAGAGGAGACTTGAAGCGACAGAGATGTGGCTCTACAGGAGGATACTGAGGATATCATGGGCCGTACATGTGAGCAACGATGAGGATTTATGGAAACTAATACTTAACATCATGAAGGATGAGTTGAGGTTTCGACTGTAAGGGTGGGGTGAATAATGAGGACGGAGGACTCGGAAAATCTGATCCTCACAGGACAGATAAAGGATAAGAGGAGAAACAGCGCATGACATTGTTGGGGAGCTTGAGTAAAGGGAGGGGGAAACAGGGCTTAGGAGAAATTTCAGTAAGACAAAGTTTATGAAGAGCTCTAAGGGACAGGAAGTTGTGGAGAGCCATGTATACGTGCTGGGGGGTACGATACATACAGAAGATTGGAAGATTTAGGCGACTTGGACGGCTTTAAAAAAATAAACGTTATTGAGAGAAAATAAAAAATTTACAAGGGAGGGGAATTAAAACTAAGCTTTTTTTAGAGAAGGAAAGCTGACATTTTTTTGTTGGGGAGAGAAAGGGGAGCTGATATTTTTTGTTGGGGAGAGAAAGGGGAGCTGATATTTTTTGTTTGGAGAGAAAGGACAGCTGATATTTTTAGTTGGGGAGAGAAAGGGGAGCTGATATTTTTAGTTGGTGAGAGAAAGGGGAGCTGATATTTTTTGTTGTGGAGAGAAACGGGAGCTGATATTTTTTGTTTTGGAGAGAAAGAGGAGCTGATATTTTTTGTTGGGGAGAGAAAGGGAAGCTGACATTTTTTGTTGGGGAGAGAAAGGGGAGCTGATATTTTTTTGGGGGGGAGGAGAAAGGGGAGCTGATATTTTGGGGGAGTCCGTGAAAAAGGAAATATTTTATCCGTAATTTGATTTCATCCAAATTTCTCAATTGTTTAATGATGATGATGATGCGACCATGACGACATTTTCTTTCTCTCTTCATTTTTAATCAGATTAATGATGATGATGATATTAGGAGGCCATTTTTCTATCCTCTCTCTTGACTTTATCGCTACCTACATCCGGAATAGACTAATTCCAGTCAGCACTTCTATTCCGGACCCAAGAGTAGACGGTTGTAGTTCTCCACAGCCTCCATCTCTTTCTACAATAGTGGCCACAAAAACAAAAAGCAACTTGGAATTTCTTTCTTTAAAAAAACAAAAAAACAACAACCGACTCTTTTTCCTCTTTTATGAATTCTCTCAACGTCCCTTCCCAGCCCATCGCCGGTCCTCCTTGTTTTTATAGACGCCATTTCCTTGCCAATGTCAGTCTGAAAATGGCTTCAAACAAATGAGACAAATTTCAGAAAATTAACAACGCCCTTCCCCACCCCGCGAAAAAAGAAACTAAAAAATAGAAGAAGAAAAAAGGAAAAAAAAAATCAAAGGAAAAAAAAAATCAAAAGAAAAAAAAATCTAAAGAAAAAGAGTCAAGAAAGAAATCTGCGAAAAATGACCAACCTGAATTAAAAGAACAATGACCAAAAGCAAAAATAAAGTTAAACTTGGATACCATAAACTTTTTAAACAGAAACTTACAGATGATACACGCTCAGGCGATCATGTATCTTTCGATAGATGACTGACGAGGCAGATTTTTCCCCGCAGTATTTTGCCATTTCTTTCTGCAGTAGACCAGTGCCATCCAAGAAAACGCGGTCTGTCTTGCTATTTTACCCATAGCTGGGTGGAGAAGAAAAAAAAGATACATACCTTTCTCGAGGGTATTAGCAAATAAGGGAATAACTAGAATTCGAACTCGGCTCTCCGATTCCTTAATCGGAGCCGTTTATCCATTACTCTACACTGCCTCCTTGACAAATTCTTAAATGACCAAATAAATAACTGTACGAGAACTTAATAATGGAACTCAACAGATGCAAAAAACAATTATATTACTAGAAAGTGTTTATGGACGCGTTTGGAAGATGGAGAGCGAGGGAAATGAACAGAAAAGGTAAAATTATAGAATCCCTGATAAGGAGAAGAAATCTATGAGTTTTGAATAAAACCCAAACACGCCTTCCTCTAGTAACAGTCAAAAAAGCAGAAAATGGAAACCTGAATCATTTGGGAAAGAACTTAAAGGAATTAATTTTGTAGCGGATAATTTATTTCAAATATCATTTTTATTATGACGATTAAAAATCTTTTTTCCAATGATTATTTTAATTATTCCTACTTAAAGGGAATTAAAATTGATATGGAGTTATCGCCCTTTATTCAAATAACTCTTCAATTGATGTCATTTATAATATATGCATGAAAAACATTGATACAGTTCGTCTTGAGTATAATTTTGATAAAAAAATTAAAAAAATGCTGAAAATCCCGACAGGATTTGGATATTTGTAAAAGTTACTTTTTTATGTACAATAATCAAAAATGAACATACCATGATGAAAAAATGCACTAAACTTAAAATTAGTTCTTTTCCTTCAAAATATATTTGTTATTATTAACAAGAAAAACTAAAGAATGTTTTGATTATTAAATTATATTTTTTAAACTTTTTTAGAACCTTCGAATTTAAAATTTTTCATTTTCTTGCATCAGTTGGTGACCATAAATTTGTAAGGAAAATTTCAGTGTCTTTTTACGATGACAAACACTGATTTGGAAATTCTTTCAAAAATCAGATCTTTGTCGGATTTTAATGAAACTTTAAGGACTTCTTCAGAAGTGAATGAGATTATGTTAGAAATATTTTCTTTTTTTAGAAAATCTTGACAAAAATATTTTTTACATCTATTACCCTCACCCCCGCCCCCACCAACACATTTAATTTTATGAAAATTTTGAGAAATTCATTTTTATAGCGCTTAATAAAAGAATTTAGATTCTTTTTCGTTGTTGTTTGTAAAACAGGCCCCAGCAGTTACCGAATTTTTTTTCTGAATTTTAAAATAAAAAAATGAAATTAAGATTATTTAATTGAGAAACATTTTAGTAATATTTTTGTATAATTTTATATTAACTTTTATGAATAATTTTTTTTGTGGACATTATTGCCTTAAGAAAAATACTTTCAATGAATAACGAAATTTTGCAAGAATTCTTCTAATTTTTAAAAAATTAATTATAGTAACTTATAAATTTTAAATCTTTTAAAATTTTGTATTAATTTGTAGCGGATAGGTAATATTGTTATCAAGGAAAAACCTATATTTCCTAATCACAAATGGAAAAGCATACAACAATTTAGCGAAAATCAGTATTTTAAATAGCGGTTTAAAAAATAAAAGTAAAAAAATATTTAAATTAAAAACCTACGCCAAACAAGGAAAACTTTCCATTTTAGTTTCTAAAATTCTTCTGCAGAGGTCACAGGTGAAATATGGTACCCTGATTTTGTCTTGACCCCCAACACGCATGCCAAAATGTACCTTTTACGCCTCACACATTTTAGTAAATTTTTCACTCTTATCTTGATAAAGCATATAGAGACGGAGGATTATCAAATTACTATGCTGAGAACTAAAAGATCTACACTACATAGAAGATGAAATTAAAGATATTCCTAAATTATCCAATCAACTCTCAACTTGGTATCAATGCTGGTGACCCGACCATTTAATTTTCTCTCTATGTCCTGGTGACTGACTCGTTTTGCCTCCTCGGGCGAACACTGTCAATTTTCCTTTCCATTGCTGCCACATATGGACCGATACTTTTTGCTATATATTTAGAAATTCTTGATAAAATCCAAAAAAGAATCAGCAGTCTTATTGATCCTGAACTGGCATCTCGGCTTCAATAATTTTCACACTACCGTAAAATTGCTTCCCTCTGCCTTTTCTATAAATAACTTCATGGTAAATGTTTAGATAAGCTCTTTGCTATGGGACCTAGACTTTATGAATTTAAACGCAGTACTAGAATAACAAAAAGGTTTTCTCAATTTACAGTTGACTTGCTTAGATGGTCTTTTGATTTTTTTCATCATGCTATACTCTCTTTTTGGCGATCTTGTGGAGGTACCTAGTTTTATTCATAAGAATATTTTTTTATTTATCATTTTAAATTACAAAAAATGAATAAACGTTAAAAATTATCTTATTTGTACATAACTTCGTCACTAATAATCTTTTATTGAATTCTCTCTTCACTTTTCCTAAAATTGTTCGAAAAATGCTTCGTATTGTAGATTTTTGCTGATTGATTTTTATAGATTTTCACAAGAATTTAAAATAGGTTTGGTTTTTAAAATCTTTTTAGGTATGTGAACTACATTTTCGACCGGAGGACATAAGGAGAGAATCGTCTGCTTTTGAGGAAAAATCAGGTGTCACAATTGCAGTTAAACTAAAAAGAATTTATCTTCGTGATGGTGCTATTCCTAGAATTTTGCCAAACTCTCCTTCATATTTATCTTCATTGACTACTTCTAGAGAGTGACCAGATTTCAGAAGAATTCGACTTGAGAATTCTGCTCTTAAAATGCTTTAAATCAAAGTATTAATGATGACTTAGCATATAAAATGCAGAAGAAATTCCATAATATTAATGATCTAAAAGAGAAATTAAATTTCCTTGATAGAAATTATTGGAGTTTTGTTAGACAGCAAGAGACACTTATTATATTCAGCATCATCAAATCCCCATATCCAAAAATCAATCTGTCTCTTGTAATTGAATCTGATTTTACAGTTCGTGTCTTTTGTAGAGATGTGGAAATGCATTTAATAGGGGACTATAAGATTCCTAAACATGTAAAAGATCAAAACACTCTTGGAATGCTGATGGAAATTTTAAAGAAAATGGACACAGAAAAACAAACCTCAAAATGTGATTTTTATATTAAAATTGCAAATGTCGTTTCTACAATTGGTGCAAAAAGAATCAAACAAATATATTAAATCGATGAAATTTATATATAAACAACTAAACTTAATGACACAAAATAAGTTTGATTATTCAATAGAAATGATGATAATTTCTTCATTGTTTTATAACTGCTGTTCCCCTAAAGGGTACAGGTTGTTAAGAGACAGTATAAATATAATTTTTTCTTAGAGCTCTTCAACCATTAAAAGACTAACCTTATCAACATATATAAATCCTTTGATTGAGCAAAATGATCACAATTTTTTTAAGTATATTAAAAATAAATTTAAGCTATTAGTGCAGAAGGGCATCGCAATATCTTTACTTGTTGATGAAATTCATGTAAAACCTTATGTTATGTATTCTCATAATATAAAGATGTTGTGTATGTTATGCCAACTAAATGTCTTAAAGCTGATAAGTTATTTGACATAGTTAAACACATTGGTTTAGAGAAGATAGGCTTTCAAGTATTATCAATTATATCAGATAATAAAAAACCTATATCTTTCTTTTGCAGTGTATATCCACACCCAGTTATAAAGTCTCAACCTTTTTTCTTCTTTTTCAACTCGGTCCATATATTAAAATGCATTAGAAACAATTGGCTTGATCAAAAAGATGCAAATAAATGCATGCTGTTCCCCAAATTTTGTCATAATGAAAATCAGGAATTAGATAGTATCCAAAGTTCACCATTTTCTAACTTACAGAAACTTCATACCCAGGAATGTCAGTCAGTTTTGAAATATTGTTATAAACTGATATCAAAGGCACTTTTCTCCTACTTATCTTAAAAGGCAAAATGTTAATTTAGTTCTGCAAATTTTTAATTAATACACTATTCATGGATTATTAAACTTAGAAAAACAATAAAGTTTTCCTAATTTTGCTGAAGTTGCAGAATATATAAACATATTTTATGCTTCGTGGACAATAATGAATGTAAAAACACCATATAAAGGTCGTCGGCTTAGAAATAAATATTGTAATCCACTTAGAATAAATGAAGAAATTTTTAGATTTCTCTCTATATTCTGTGACTGGTTAGAATTTTGGAATAGCATTTCTGGAAGAAATGGTAAATTAACAAAAGAAACCTTCACTGCTTTGCATTTCTAGAACTGACCAAATAGAAGAATTTAAAATGCCATACATATTACCTGACAAATTTCAAACTGATCTCCTCGTTGCAAGGTTTGGACAGTACCAGTGATTTTGTAGGGATCAGTATAATATCACGATGCGACAAGTATTTGAGTGCAAAAAAAAAAAAATCAGAATGCTATCAGTTTTAAAATTGATTTTACCACTTCATCAACAAAATATTAAAATTGATTTGAAGAATTTACAAGAACCAAACTAGGATGAAGTGACAGAAGAGGAAAAGTTAGATATGTAGAAATTAAGAATTGATATTAAAGAGAATGATGTTAATAAACGAAGGGAAGTTCTTCCTGTTAGCAGGTTATTGCTGTTATGCAGTTTTTAAGAAAATTAAAGGCAATAATTACAAAAATTTCATATGTAGAAGAAATCCTGAAAGTAAACAACTATTTTTAGGAGATTAATAGAGTTTCTTTTTTATATCCTAATGATACAACTACAAATATGGTTCTATATTATTATGTAGCCATTGGTAAAAAAACTTTTTTTTTCAAGTTGACCATAGAAATATTATTTAATCTTCCGTTCGTACCGTGACATCTTTAAACATAACGCGAAAAGTTTAAATGGCAAGTCGAATTTTACCAAAAAAACCAACCGTTTTTGGAGATTCCATCTTTATGAATAAAGACAAGAGGAAAACTTTTCTTTATCGACGCATTTCATCTCTTCATGGACTTTGTCAAGTCAAATCGAAGGATTTTATTTTGTTTATATGTAATAAAATTTAAAATGATAATGTCCATCAAAAAAAAAAAAAAAAAAAAAAAAATGCATCGATAAAGAAAGACAGAAAAAAAGCAAAAGTGTCTACTGATCGCTTTTTAAAACAATAAACATTGCTGAGGAGTGAAGGTAGTTAAAATAATAGCGGTGTCGAGGGAAAAACCATTCTGATGACACTTCATTTTTTTTTTGGCGGACACGAAGGTCCAGATTGCCGAAAAGTTTTCCTTTTCTTTTTATCCATAGTGTCTTTTTACATATATATTTTTATTTAGAGCCGAATTTTTTGTATAATATTAGAATAATATAACTTTTATATGAAATGAAAATCTTATCTAAAAAAAAATCAATAATTTTATTCTTGAGAAAGAAATTTACACAGGAAAATTCATTAATACAACGGGAAATAACTTTGAATGTGTATAAACTGTTAATCTAGAGTTATTTCCCTTTTTATATCTGTGTAAAAGTTAATGAAACAAAGTTAAAAAAAAACATTTGTTGGTTGATGAAAATGATTTTAACTAACAGGAAATTATTAACTGAAATCGATTTAAATATTCTCCTTCTCGTGTGAGTGTAAACATGAAATGTAAACAAATAAGTTCTTAAGAATGCTTTAAAAACATTCCAGTTTAACTGCTTTAAATTAATTGTCTTCAAAGGATGGAAAATTATATAAAAATTCTTGCAATAAGAAAAAAATTAATTTAAATATAAAATGTTTTCTTTTCTTTGAGTAAATGCAAAGTCGCACCCTAGAAGAAATTTGGCTTTCCCCAGTGGATGAATGTGGCTGTTTTTAACTCATCAACGATGAAAGGAAGAAAGAAAAGAAGATGAAGAAGAAGAAAAATAAAAGAAGCAAAAGTTGAAAGATAGCAGAAAAATTCCCCAAATTCCGGGTATCTACCCGAAATATGATCTTTTATGAAAAATACCGACATTTGTCTCGATATTGTGGTTCTGTTTGAGAACAGAAATTTAAGACCCAGTGACATGAGAGAATTTGCCAACTTTCTCTTCTGATTTCGAATATTAAATAAGTGTCACCTTGTTTTGAAGGAAACTGAATAGTTTTTAGCTTTTTAACTAAGTGCAATTTTATTTTTAAATATTATATACGGTTTTTAAAGTCTTTTTAATAAACATAAATTTCGTTCAAATTTCACTAAATAATTTTGAGTCTTTTCTTATGTCCTTTGCATAGTTCACGATGAAGAAAGAGAGTAACAACATACTCCCTTTCCTGGATGTTTTAATATCTCGAACAGAGCATGGGTTCAAGACATCCGTATACCATAAACCGACATTCACCGGACAGTACCTCAATTTCAACTCCCACCGTCCATACAGCGTAAAGAAAGGGGTCGTCCGTTGCATACAACACCGAGCAAAAGTCATAAATGGTGACCCAGAGATATTAGATAAAGAATTGGTCAGTATAAGCAGTACCCTAGAACGTGACAACTACCCTGGGTACATGGCAGCATCCCCAAATAACTGAGGTAGGCGTGTACAACAACACTCAGAAAACAGTCTGCCTGCCTTATGTGAAGGGGTTATCAGAGAAAATACAAAGGATCTGCGGTCCATATAACATCTTTCAAAAGCTAGACGACACACTTCGCAGATATCTCTCCTGAGTAAGACCCCCCCCATAGAAAAGAACATGACTAAAGATGTGTACACTATCCCGTACAGCTGCGGAAAGAAATATAAAAGGGGGACAGGTCGCCCCCTTAAGGTAAGGCTTCAAGAACACCAAAAAGCTGTAACACGAGGTGAAGTGGAAAAATCAGGCGTGGCTGACCACATATGGCGAGAAAAGGGAGATCACCACCATCTGTGGGATCAGGTTGAGATCATAGGACAAGGAACACCATTGGATAATTCGTAAACTTCGTCATTTTTTTTACACCTCCCGAGGCCGGCTGAAAATACGCCGGGGAAACTCTCTTTTAATTTCTTTGCCTCAGTCGATAACCTTTTCACTTTTTGCCAGAATGTATTTATCGGAAAATCCCAGAGGTCAAATTTCTGCATCCATTCAGTTCCAAATAAATTTTCCGTATTTTTTAGAACATACATCTTTAATTTCTTGGTCATCCCGTTGAACGTCACATTTGTGATAATCTCCCATTCAAATTTGATTTTTTTCCTGTTACCGACCTGTCTATTTTATCTGTTCTCAACATGGACGGTTTGTTTAATTTCTTCCACGTCTGTAAGTTAATAATGGTTAAATCTGATCCGGAATCTAATTGTAATCTGATATTTTGTTTAACATTTCAACTTGTACGTATTTTCGTATATTTATCCCGTCCGCCTGATCAGGTCTAGTGACTTTTACTCGGCTTTAGTTTACTTTTTTCGTTCTACAGTGCGAACTTTTATGTCCCACTTCATTGCACAACAGACAAGTCTTATAGCGGTATAGACAATTTTTGTACCAATGTAAAGTCCCACAGCGATAGCATGGACTGGGTGGTGGTTTCTTCTGAGGTTTCATTTGACTTTTTGTAGTAAAATAATTGGTTTGGTTTGTTTTTGAGGAGAGAGAAAAACGTGTTTGTCGTTATACTTTTCGTATGTGAGCAATGCCAGTCTCTTCGATATCTTTCGAGTCTTTTTTTACGCTTATATATCTCTGACAGTCTTCAGCCAATTTTTGCAGTATCAGTTTTGGTTCACTCTCCAGTTTTGTTAGAATTCTCTGTCTGATCTCTGCATCTTTAGTCGAAACCGGGCCTTGGACGAATATCAAACTTTTAAAATTGTCAGGGCTGAGTTCATATAACTTAAAGTCATTGCAGTGTTTGTTTACTACGGAAGCGAATGTTATATAGTCTTCGCTATCCTTTTTTGTTAAATTTAAACATTTCCACCTTTTGTGGAATAGTGAAGTGTTCGAACTAAATAATTCCGTTAAAAGTTTCACGCCTTCCTTGAAAGTCAACTCATTCGTTTTCCTCGGTAGGATGTAGTCTACGAAATTAGTGTATTCGCTTGACCCTAGTTTCCTCAGTAGTAGACGTACTTTTTTCGCGTTGACCAATTCCCGCAATCAAACTCATATGAATCTTCATATCTTCTGAAGTAAGTCCGGTGCATAAGTGAAGTCTTTGATTGAGCTCCATATAGCATTTTGCGAGAATGCCGCTTCATTTTCAGAATGTTGTCCTTTATTTGTTACTGCCCGTATTAGTAATTCTTGAAGTTCGTGTTGCTTTTCTTCGTTTTTCTTTTGAATTTCTAATTGTTTTTCTTCGAGCCTAGTCTGTCTTTCCTCATTCCTTTTTTTGCTGCTTGAATTGCATTTTCATTAGTTCCAATATGGTTGCCTTAAAGTCTTCCATGTTTACACCGTAATTTAATACTAACACAGGCTATCTGTTGTCACGAGAAGAGGAGGAAAAAAACACACTTTTTCCATTACTTTTTCTTTTCGCAATATGTACTTTGTAGCTAGAGTTGTGTACTTGTGTAAAGATTTTTTCCTTTTTTCTCAGTGTAGACTTCAGGCCTTTGTCGTCTGTTGTTCTGGAACCTTGGTACGAAAAAAATTTCCTGCGTAGAATTCTATTCTATTCTGGCTGACAAGTAAAATTCGTGTCTTCGTTACCACTGTTATGGCTGGTGTTCAAAAAGTTTTTTTTAGCTTCGCGTAGAACATGTGCTTTTTTTTTTTTTTTGTTTTTTTTTTTGTATTTTTTTGTCGCTCTCTCAATATCTCCGTCGCCTTTGTTATGGACGACCGAAAGCAAATATTTTTTTTTCATATACTCCACGTAGATTACGTTTCTTCAATATTCTCGTCGCCACTGTTATGGTCCAGGTTAAGACCAAGGAAGAACAACACGAACATAAGAGTAGAAATAACGAAGGTATATTACTCGAAATGATAATACAAGATGTGGAAGGTGTTAGTATGACTGTCAGTCTGGTTTGGAGTGAACTACTATCGGCTCGACTCGATTCGTGACACTCTCATGAGAGGCGTAGTATAAACAGTGATGGAAGAGTTCATTCTGTAGTGATAGATAGATAGATAGATAGATAGATAGATAGATATGAAATCCACTGAGAGATAGATAGATGTGAAAGAAATCGGTTAGATAAATAGATAGATATTTGCTGTTTTTATTGCTATTTTCAAATGAAATTTCCACATTTCCTGTCAACCATTGATGGTCGGAGGTAAAAAAAAAAAAAAATTGAAGAAAAATTTAAAAAAAACGAATTTAAAAAAAATTAAATTTTATTTGAAAACAATAAATTTTTTTTTTTTTTAAATAATTTTGAAAATTTTCAATAAATTTTCTCCATCTTTTTTAAAAGAAACAAACAATTTTTGGCTGGAAACAAAAATCCTCGGAAAATTTTCAGATTTTTCCGGAAATGTATACAAATTTTTTTCTGGTGAAAGAGAAAAAATTTCTTTTTGGCTCGTAAAATAAAAAAATCCAAATTTATTTGAATAAAAATCGAAAAATTCTTTTTTCTTTTGCAATTTTTGAAGAATTTCTCCATTTTTATTCCAAACAAAAATTTCCGACTTTCCCCCACTTGATCCCCACAAATTCCCCGTCTTCGGATCGACACGAAGGCGGGGGAGGAAAACATCCCCCCCGGTGACCCCTGAAGGCCGATTGTTTTTATTTTTTCTCCATTTTCATTAAAACAAAAAATTTCTTTAAAATCCGAATCACAAGCAAAAATTTTTTTCTGAATTTGACACAAAGAAAAAAATTCCTTTTCTTTTGTGTTAATTGTTTTTTGCTTTTTTAAAAATGGCGGCGATTTTTGTCGAGCCAAAAAGAAAAGTCTTCCTCCCCTCAACCCCAACCCTCGAAGACAACAAACAACCAAAATGTCTTTGGGGAGGAGACACATGTCCCGGGGGTAGAATGTCTCTCTTCCGTCCGTTAAGGGAAATTGGCCGACCAATTCCCCAGAGTCTCTGAATTCTAGAATCGATTTGTCTTCCCAATCTCCAACAAAGACGTGATTGTCTACGTCGCTGGCGACAATCGATAAAATCCAACGAAGCGGGTTCGGTCCTTGCAGACGGCATTCACTTTCCAATTGCAAATTCCCGGATGTTTGAGGCATCCAATCGATTGTTTCTTTCTTCAGTGACTCTAGGGAATCGTGACACCATTTGGGAAAGGTCACGACCCAACGGATTTTCTCGGGTGGAGCAAACGATTGGTGGAGCCGCGCAGAAAGCTCAGCTCTCAACAACCTCAATCCACAGACGACGTCCTCATCGTCGGCCTCGTCCGTCAACAAATCTCCCAAGGTGTCGCGCCAAAAATTCACCTTCCCCAAAAATTCTTCTCTCTCCTTCAGGGAGAGGCGCCATTTTCTCTCCAGTTCAGACGCCATCCCTCTCATATTTTCGCACAGCTCACCCAACTTGAGCCGAGTCTCTTCTACGAATGTCTCAAAATCCTGCCAGAGTTTGGAGCATTCCGTATCGCAATCCGTTGACAGTTCCTCAATGGATCGCCTCGTTCGCTCGTTCGTTGCCCGGATGTTGATTTCGAACTGGCGGAGTTCCCGCTCTAGGGTGGGTCCGTCCTCCCTTTTCCTCTTCGACGCCTCCTCCCTCACCGACAGCGGACTTGACGGACACTGAGGAGAGGCGGTCACGTGATCAGTGTAACACGCGTCACACATGCACACGTTGCACCGGTTGCAAAAGGCGTTCTTGGATTGGCGGTGCCGTCGACAGTCCTCCATCGTGATGACCCGGATGGCCTTCACCCTCGACACGCCAGACAAGTCTTTAGTCTCCTGTCTGTGGTGGAATTTCTTATGAAATCTCTCGCAGGTCTGGCAAAAGAGTTTCTCGCATTCCTGGCACCAAATCTGGCCGGACGATTCCATGCCGTCTTCAAAGCACCAGTCGCAATTCCACTTTCTGGATTCCAGCTGACGACGCCTCAAAGACTTCACCAAAAATGGTGCCAGTCTCAACTCTTCATCGGTCGCAGGTTGTTGGCACTGGGGACACAGGCCATTTCCTTCAAGAATCATCTTCACGCACGACCCACAGAAAGAATGAAGACATGGCAACGTCTTTGATGCCAAATCCAAAAATTCGACGCATTTCGAGCATTGGAACGTCACTTCTTCACTCACACTGGACGCCATTTTGAAAATTTCTTCTGAAGATAAAAAAATCAAATCTGAAAAGAAAGAAAAGAAAAAAAAAGGTCAAAGTTCAAAATCAGAAAATGGCGAAAAAAATGTACATTTATAAAACCGGAAGAAAAATGACCCGAAATTTCGAGATTTTACAAGAAAAACAAATCCATTTCCGGAAAGAAAATTTGTTTTCTTCTAAAATCCCAAATAAATGAAGGAGAGGTGAAGAGTTGTGGGGACAAATGAAATACTGAGAGAGTGGGGTATGGAGAGAGTGGTTATCAATTAAAAAAGAGAGAGAGAAGAGTAATTCAAGGAAAGAAAGAAAGGGTAAAAGAAACAGAGAGAAAGGAGGTGGGCTTCTAATTTTCCGCTTTCACAGTCACATTTAACATTCTCTTTTCATCAATTTTAATATTTGAAAAATTTTTTCCTTATTACCAATTTATATTTTAAATCTTCTTCGTTACTCTAGTAGGGCACAAGGACAGTAGAAGAGAGTAAATTAAGCACTACTTAAATAAAGTGGTTCACACATAAAAACCGAAAAAGAAACTAATTTAAATTAAGTGAAATAATTTTTTTTCTTTTGCTAAAATAAAAATTTGATTAATTAAAAAATAAATAAACTAATTCTATTTATAGAGAAAAAGAATTTGGTTTTCCTCTCAATATTTAAAAGATAGATAGATAGATAGATAAAGAGAGAGAGAGAGATAATAAGGGATGGAAAGTAGTGAAGGGGAGAATGAGGCGTAAAGACAGAGAAGGAAAGATTCTATAAAAGAGAGATTTTTTTCCTTATCTTTTAAGGAAACAGAGACAGATAAATAGAGGGATAGACCAATATAAGAGAGGGAGAGAGAGAGAGAGAGGGAGAGAGAAAGAGAGAGGGAGAGAGAGAGAAGGTAAGAATAAAGTAATAATAAAAAGTTTTTCTCGCAATATGAATTCGGTTAAAAAACAAAAAAAAACAGATAGACTCACCGATATATATATATATATATATATATATATATATATAGAGAGAGAGAGAGAGAGAGAGAGAGAAATTTTATGGGATAACAAGCGAGGGAAAGGAAGTGAAGGGGAGGATTGAGCAATAAGAGAGAGAAGAAAAGGATGTATGAAAGAGAGAAAATCCCTGATAGATAGATAGATAGATAGATAGATAGATAGATAGATAGACTCAGTTTTCGGAAGTAAGTAATTTAAACAGTTTTTTGTTGTCTTTTTATCAAGCGGACCACTTTACTTAAGTAGTTCCTCGTCTTCCTTTTTAAATCCTACAACAAACCTTAAGGAAGTAGATAGGAAATCGGGGAGGGCGGTGAACAAAAAACTTATCGTTTTCTTTCCTTTGTTCAAGAAGAAGAAGAAGAAGAAGAAGAAAACAAAGACAACGAGTCAGACAAGAATTTTTCAGTGAAAAAAGAAAATGGTGATAAAAATGATTTCGAATCATGAGAGAGAGAGAAAGAGAGAGGAAGGGGGGATTTCTTTTTTCTTTGCTTTTAAAGAAATAGACCGATAGATAAACTGATAGATACGAATAGACTGACCGAATTTCCAGAAGGGTTTCCAAGTATTTCACAAGCAGATAAGGAAATTCGAGGACAAAATAACTTATCGTCTGCTTTATTCAATAACAAATCAACAAATTGAAGACAACGAGTCAGACGAACATTTTTCGATTAAAAAAGAAAAAAGTTTTCAAAATTAAATTCAATTTTTTTCCGGAAAGAAAAGAAAAAAAATGGATTTAATAATAAAGAGAATTTTTTTTTCTTTTTTTCAGACTTAAAAACCGCCCCCCTTTGCGTCGTAGTGGCTTTCTTGCCTTCATTGGGTTGAAATGATTAAAAAGAAAGGAAGAAAAAGGTTTTGTTGTGTTGATGGAAACATTTAAGAAGAAGGTTGAATGATTTGGAGAAACGATAAGAAAATTCTTACTTACATTTGATTTTGATTTTCACTTTTGGGATGAAAAGAAGCGAGACGGAAACAAAACACGTCTTGTCTGTTGAATTTTCTGAAAGCAAACTGCAAAAGGCGTAGGTCGTAATGATGACGTCATCGGAATACAAGGCATTTCATTGGACGAGAATAATCACGCCCCCTGGACATGTGACTTTCTTTACGTGTTATAGATGAGAGAAGGGAGGAAAGAGAGAAACAAGAGAGAAAACATGGAACGATGAGAGAGGGGCGAATTTTCTTCTTTTCTTTCCTTTTTTATTTCAAATAACTCACGACATTTAATCATTTGAAAAAAATACTATCAACTTTTTTATTAATTGTTGGTAAAATAAATTAAAAAAAATACTTATTAAAAATAAAAAAGTAGTATAAAATAAAAACACGACTATATAATATTTTATTCGTTAATATTAGTATAAAATGATTAATTAAATTTATTTTTGGTGCAAAATAAAAAAAAATTATTTCCACAAATAAAAATTCTTATTGTAAAATATAGAAATCTTTTATTTTATATTTTGACACATTTGATTAATTTTTATTTTAAATTATTTTATACTAATGACTAATAATTTTTTTATAGACGGATACAAAATTATTTCCGATTAATTCTTTTAAAAAATTAACAATACAAGTTAAAAAAGAAATTCGATTCGGGTTTACAAGATGACTTGTATTAAAATAATATTTTATCGATAATAAGTAAAAGTATTTAAGTAATATTATTAAAGCATAAGTAATATTATTAAAGTAATAAGAAATATTATTAATTAAAGTATTAAGTAATATTTTATCTGTAATAAAAACGAAAAATAAACTCTTCTTTTTTGACTCATGGAATTAAAAAAGGAAATCCCCAAATATTTCAATTAATGAAAAACTTTTGAACTCTGGTTTTTAATAACAAAAAAAAAGGTCAAAATAATTTTGATTGAATTTTTAAAAATCTAAAAAGTTTTTTGAATTTCATGATTTGAAAGAAAGAAAAAATGAAACTAATTTTATTTGTGAAATTCAGAGAAATATGGATTTTACCAACACGAAGTAGTAAACAAATTATGATTCATCAGGAATTTCCGGTGACCATTCACCTTGAACAAATGTCAACAGATAGATAGATAGATAGATAGATAGATAGATAGATAGATAGATAGATAGACACAGAGAGAGAGAGAGAGAGAGAGAGAGAGAGAGAGAGAGAGAGAGAGAGACGAACAGGAAATATAGAGAAAAGAATGTGGACATTTGTTGAGTTGAAAAAAAAATACAGATGACGCCCCCCCCCCCACCGCCTCTCACAGACACATTAAACATGAAGGTGTGTCAAGTTGGTCATAGCTGCCCTCTTTTCCTCTCTCCATCAATAATTTTTAATATGTGCTGTGTCCGTTCAGGATGTTGGTGATCATGGCTCTCCACAATTTCCTCTCTTTTGTAGCTCTTAATATATATTGTCTTTTGGTTATCTAAAATCCATTCTGCCATCCATTAACTGCCTCTCTTTCTTTCTTCTTTTATGTGCTGTGTCCGTTCAGGATGTTGGTGATCATGGCTCTCCACAATTTCCTCTCTTTTGTAGCTCTTAATATATATTGTCTTTTGGTTATCTAAAATCCATTCTGCCATCCATTAACTGCCTCTCTTTCTTTCTTCTTTTATGTGCTGTGTCTGTTCAGGATGTTGATGATCATGGCTCTCCACAATTTCCTCACCTTTGTAGCTCTTAATATATATTGTCTTTTGATCATCTAAATTCTTTTGGGCCATCCATTAACTGACTCTCTTTCTTTCTTCGATGTGCTGTGTCCGTTCAGGAAGTTGGTAATTATGGCTCTCCACAATTTCCTCTCCTTTGTAGCTCTTAATATATAATGTCTTTTGGTCATCAAAACTCCATTCTGCCATCCATTAACTGACTCATTCTTTTTTCTTCTATTATTTATTATTATTTATAAGAATTTGAAAAAATCCTGATGAACTTTTATCTAAAAGCAACATTAACAGAGTATTTTTATCAGTCATTAAATCAAAATATAAATTGAATTTTTGAATAAAAATGTGGGGACGCTCACAAGGGCGTGGCACTGGTAGTTTGGTATTTTCCTAAATGTAGTTATTTTGTAACAGACAAAACAGAAAAAAAAAAAATAAATAAAACAGACTGAATAAAAAATTAATTTCCAGACGATGTCTGACAAATATCAATTGTCAATAAACTATTATTATCTTCCGAGCAACGTTGGGTATCCCCGCTAGTTATTAATAAAATAAATGTAAGGAAACTTAAGTTAAGATACAATTAAAACATTTAATTTAATTACTTTCTCAAGCAAAAACTCTAGCGAGCCTTACTTCGAAAAATAATTGTTTATTTTGGGTGGAACTTTGTAATATAATCGTGTCAATAGAGGCCGAATTATTATTATTAAATTTGAAATGTTTTCTTGTTTCAATATCACACAATAGACAGAAATATAATCGACCATGATTATATAGAAAAGCGTTTTTTATTGGTTTCTTCATAACATAAATGCCTGGGTATCATTGGCTTGTAACAACCGGTCGCATGTAATTTCTACCCTGACTAAAGCCAAAAATTAAGGGCCCACCCACCTATTTCTGTGTCAGCATACCTTTCCCGCTCTCTTTCTTCTTGATTAACATTTGCATGCAATCTATATTTGCTTAAGTGTCGATGTGACACTATTTAGCGCTGATAAATGATAAGTAGGCTGATGAATAGAACGATAGATATACCGATGACCAAACAAATTGTAAATAAAAGAGAGAGAGAGAGAGAGAGAGAGAGAGAGAGAGAGAGAGAGAGAGAGAGAGAGATTTTTTGATAGAAAAAGAAACTAAAAGAAGGTAATTAAGACGTAAAAAGAAAGAGACAATTTGGTTCCAATTAAGAACTGAGATTAAGTGATGAGCTATCCTGGAGGACCGACGACCTCTTGGAAAGAAATATATAATATTTTTATGACCATTGTGAGCATAGTAGAAGGACACATCCCTGGTTGGAAGTTCGGTCGATAGGTAAGTATTAGCTTTTTAATGTAGACTGGTTTTCAGCAGAAAATAGATAAAAGAATGACAATTTTTTCATCTGCTGAAATGTGATAAAATTTCGCCAAATGGAAGAATTGTTCCCTTTTTGCCCCTTGCTGACCAAAAGTGTTAACGATGGGATACAAACGATAGATTCCAGATGTGAAAAACGACCACACACAAAAGCATGATAAAAAAGAATTTTGAACGATAATTACAATTTTGCCGTTAGGCTAAACCACGCCTAGCCCTTAAGGGATGAGTTGGTCAGGTGACCAAAGAGGAAAGGGCCTAGGTGGAGTTCTAAAGAAGGTGGAGGAATTTCTACGCCCCTCGGGAAGTGATGATAATAGACACTTATGCCGAGCTGGAAGGAGACGGATTTGATCAGGTGACCAAAAGAGGTAGAAGGCCCAGGTAGAATTGCAAGGAGGGAGGAGAGGCTTCCCCATATTTGGACATTTGCAAGGAGAGCCCTGATTGATTGTTTGGGGAACACTGGCATAAACAGGGTACATCATGCCCCAACACAGCCCTTGCGCATGTTCCATAAAACAGAACATCGAAGAGATACGAGAGACTATGGCAGAGAGATCGTTCCAGCCACCGGACGAGAGACATCCCACATGACTGCCTGCCACAAAGAACCTCGGATATCAACCTTGTGGCAAACTTCATCAAGCCAGCAAAGTGTCACGTCTAACTTAAGAAGCGGGTTGGGTCGATAAACTTTCGCATGCAAGCTGCTAGATTTTTGACAACAAACTAATTGTTGTCTGAAGAACAATATATATATATATATATATATATATATATATGTATTATTCAAGTGTCTATTTTCTGCGTTGCGTCTTCATTCCAACCCAATACGAAGATACTTGACGTCGATTAGATTCTGGCTGACCTTATGATCAAAACAATCATCACGTGGGATAAGGCAGTGCCTGGATCGAAGCAATCACCTTATTGATCAGCTGTGAGTATTGGACATTTGGACAATCAAGGAGGGACTTGAGTGTGACATATAAACTGAAATTAGGACGGAGTGAGAGTCAGAAAGAGACAATATTTTTTTTAATTAAAAAGGTGAGTAATGTTGAATATTAAAGATAGAAACTGTTGCATCCTATCGGCACTGCCATATTTTTTAAAAACAGCTGCAAGAGAAATTTTAACCAGCGTTGTAAGATTGATTCAGGATATAAAGGAGCCACAAAAATACAACAACAAAAAAATAATGTTCTTCGGCCCTGCTGGACATTATGGATGCATGCCATCTCTCAGTTGCATCTCTTTCCTCTCAGATGCAGCTGAGGAAAATAATACTTTGCTGTACCCGGCCCTGGGGAGACAGCTACCCAAATCTACAACCTCTCATTACACTAAGAAGAGGGATCGGTGGTTGCCACCGAGGTCAACTCAATCGACATTTGCTGGGGCTTGGACAATTTTTGTAGTTAGCGCCCAGGTTTCCAAAGTTAAACGCGCCCAGGTTTCCAAAGTTAAACCTGATTTTTTGTCTCATTGGGGAGGCATGGGTAAATAAGCAAGTGTATCCGCAACCCAGATGACTAGGATCAAGGTGTTGTATTATGTTCCAGTAGCAGCAGCAGCTGACAGACAACCCAGTTCTCCAGGCACCAGGATTAGTTCCAGCGAGCCCACCACCAGCCATCGCTTCAGCCATAGGCTTCAAGCTCCATCCACCACCAACAGATTTCCTGGTCCAGCCATCCTTGCCAATGATATGCAATAATCTGTCTTTATCAGGACAAAGTTATTCTCACATTCAACATGAGTTAACAGAGATATTTTTTGCCTCGTGTAATGTCCAATTATTTTTTTTTATGTATTTTTCTTTAGCAAAACGTTTACAAAATCTTTGTCCACTCTTGTATCAAATGAAACAGCAAAGTCAATGATTTGACCCTTGCTATTCTTCTTATCTATAACAATAGCTTCAATGACATGATCTGTTTTAGAAGCACAAAGACCCCGATCTTATTGTTATAGACAAAAGAGAAGAGAAAGTGTCAATTTAATTTACGATATGATAAAGATGAGAAAATAGAATTTAGAATTAGTTATACATTCAACATTTGAAGAGTTAGAGAAACATAATTTCTAATTAAGGAAAACTTATATTATAGAATATGAAATATTTTCCCATTCTCATTGAACGGTTCTCAGCGAGATTGTGATTGGTTACTTAATAAGAAGGATGCTATGGTGGACGAGAAAAGTCGAGAAATGGCGACCAGTGTATACGGACTGAGGTTGAGCGACTGCGCTCACTGTTGCAATTGCTGCACTCGTGCACTTGCAGGTGCAAAACGACTGCACTCACAATCTTGCGAGTGACCGGCTAGTAAATACCTTTTTTTTTCCAATGTCTGTAATTCCTTTTTAAAAAGGAATTACATATATGCTATCAGCTAAGAACCCCTTAACAAGGAATATTGACTTTTCTAAATAAATCACTGGAATAAAATATATTCATGTTTAAATCATTATTTTCCATCTTTTAGGATAAGTTTTTCTTATATATTAAAATGATTCCTTATTTTTAAATTAATATATTTTACAATTGAAACTTTCTTTGATTTATATGTGAGATTATAATATTTACACACACCACCACATTCCTGTTGCAAACACGTGTTTTTTTAAAAGTGCATAGTCTTATATAATCTGCTGCAATTAAATCTCTCTCTGATTCACATTACAACATGTCTGCCGGGGGTGAACGGCAAAAAAGCAAAACATAAAATAAAAAATGACGTTGTCTGCGTAGGAGGTGTCTGATCATCACATCTAATCTACAAAATAATTGCCCCCTCAAAAATCCCAGAATGCCAAACACGGACATTCTCACCAAAAAATTTGGATGTCCCTGGGAGCCTATACCTGTTAAACCAAAGATATAAAAATGGCACTCTTCGCTGACGACATAGACTTTGGCTCCAATACTTCGGCACCGTCACATGACCGCTGAACTATCAAAGGCCTCACCAGTGTCGATTTCAACCCTGAAGAAAATCGTTTGCCTCCCCCTCCAACTACACTTAGCTTCACTAATCCGCTCCAGACCTATCTCCTGGTGCAACCTGTGACCTCAGACAACCAACCCAAGAAATTGTTCAAGTTCCGACCCTACCGACAATAATCTTACACCTAATGGCTTTCTTTAGCAACAGTAACTAAGGAAGCACATCTGAACCATTTTTTGCCACCTTTCACGCAACTATGTACATATTCTGGATTTTTGACAAATACACGTTGTTGAAATTTTAATCTGTCTTCATTTCCTTTGCTACCAAACGCTCGTTGTAACATACCTCACCATATTTCATTAAAAAAACAAATTCATTTATGGATCTTCAAAAGATTTTCTCATTTTTTTTTCAAATAAAAGCTGAGCAATTGACTTTCCTAAAATAGCCATGCAGAAATATTTAAATGGTTTAGCAAAAGATCAACTTTTGTTTGTTTAAAAAATTCCAAAGCCATAAAAAAAAAAAAACATTTAATCATCATGCCAATAAAAGATACAAACTTAGACTTGGAACAGTTTTATCTGTAAAATGAGTTTAAGATGAACTTCGTTTTTCACCATATTGAATGTGACTTTTACAATAAATAATACAATTCAATTATGTTTAAGCTCTAAATCAACAAATACTGAACCAAGTAATACATTTATTACCAATTTTCAAACAGAGATTTCTTAGATGAAATGGCTGTTATTTGCTGAATTAGAAATGAAAAATGTTTTATTCTTAACGGGTGCTGAACAGTTTTCTGAAAACTTCAATAAATTACTTTTAACTTTTCTGTTTTTAGTTTGTAAAAATTATTTCAAAAGATATGTTTATAACTAATAAATCAGTAAGTGTGTCCTTTTCAATAATATTCCATGTCAAGTGAAAATGTATTAATAAGTGGACCAGAGAGAAAAACTTCAATTTTTTTTAGGGGCATTAATAGGAATTCATTGATAATTAAATCTTTGCCGACTGATTACGACATCTTGAAATTTTTTCTTTGAATTTAGACAAAGCTACATTTTATTATAAACTTATAAATCTTAACAACAATTTACTTATGCGAAAATACATTTTAGAAAATTGTGACACTATTTGATAAACTGTCATGAATAAAAAGGTTTCTGGATAGCAAGAAAGATATACTGATAAAAAAATCGCGTTTTCAGAAAGCCGAAATTTCCGAAAAAAAAACAAAAAACAAAAAACATGTGGCCTGTTAAAAACAACAATTTTTACTACAGGGACATATAGTGATATTTTGACAAATGATTAATGACCACCTCCATGGTTGCTGACCGTGGAACCAGAAATGGTGAGAATCGAATAGGATCTAAAATAACATTTTAGAGATTAAAGTTTTCTTAGAGAAAGTCTTTGGCATGGACAGAGGGAAAAGAGGCCATATAACCTGTTTCTGATTTCGGACGAGAAAGAAATATAAAAGCTCATCTGGAAAATTTTCTGCAGAGGCGACAGGTTTGAAAAATCGGATTTAGAAAAATATAATGTGAAGATAAAGGTTTTCCATTGGAGAATGTCTCTGGCGGGGGAGAAGACCATCTGCTTTTTGTTCAACTTTATGACCAGGAAAAACTAACAAGTAGTGTCATTTTGCTTATGAGGTGTTGGAATGATAATTTCTTTTAACTGACGAACTTGGAATTAATCTTCCCTGGTCAGGGGTGGCTGAAGTAGTAGGTGCAGATGAGACACTAAGGAGGGTGGAGGAGCTGCTCATGCCCAGTGAGGAGTATTAGTGGGAAATGCTAAGAAAAGGAGGAAGAGGCTGTGTGGCGGGAAAATACCTACGACCGTCACCCGAGGAAAGGCGGAAACTTCCAAATTTGGAAGTAATTACTTTCTCCGAACACAGACAATGGAGAGGAAGCATTCTTTGTGACGGGTAGAGAAAATGCTGTATACCTAACCATCTTACACCCGACACCAGTTTTGGGTAAGCGTCAATAATTACGAATGCCTCAAGACGAGAAGACCGAGATCGTCCCGAGTGTTCTTTCCAGCCACTGGACGCGAGACAAAACACGTGACTATCTGCCGGCGAGAGCCTCCGACATCAGCCTTGTGCCAAACTTTACCAAGTCAGTAAAACAAACTTTACCAACTTAACTGTTTCGTCTGACTTAAGAAGCGGGTTGGGTCGATAAACGCCTGCATGCAAATTCCCAGACTTTAACAATAATTAACCAACTATTTTACGAAGGATGTGATATAAAAATAGTGTATATATTTTTATATTATTCGAGTGTTATTTTTCTTTTAATTCCTCTGGGTCTTCGCCCTGCTTCGAAGATACCTACAACAATTCGGTCTTGACCTCCTGATGATAAAATCAAATCTCAACGTGGGATGAGGCAGGTCCAGGATCGAACGGGTTGGGGGACGACAAAATACACATTTTGTAGAACATTCAAATATAAAGTGTGCAAAAGTGAAAAGAGTGAATAGCAGTTTTCACTCCAAGTGTATTCACAAATCCATTTTATATAAAATGGATGAATATTAAACATGACTCTTCAGCATTTATTCTTCAGCAATTTCTGAAATTAAAATGTTTATGTGGCGTTTT